GCTGAACTTCACTTCCTAAAGACCCTGAGTTGAAGTGACAAAGGGCACTGAATTAAAAGGTTTCCACAAAGGAGATGTTTAAGGGAGAAGAAAAGAGATTTCCCATTTATTCAGACCTCTCACTAAAGAGTCATTTTCCCACCACCCCCGCAATGGGTTGGCCCTTTTGTGTCCTCTTCAAATAGAGGATTGTCACAGAAACAATTAAAACTTGTGCCTTTGAAATGAAAGAGGCTGGGTCAGCCTTCCCAGGCTAGACAAGACAGGAAACAGAGGAGCTAAATCTACTCTTATTGTATGGCTACAATAACAGAAATCTTGCAGTTCTGAAAAGGCAAATCTCCCTCAGTTGCTTTTTACAGTCTGATAATTAAGGGTGGATCCTTTCTAAGTTTCTTTCTCTTCCTATTATATGCAATTGAGGCTGCCCCCTTTTTATGTCTAGTCCAATATATCTAGTTTAATGAAAACAGATTTACAGAATTGGAAGGGACCTTGTAGGTCATCTAGTCCAACCCCCTGCCCAAGCAGGAAACCCTGCACCATTTATTAATAGAGTTGGAAGGGACCATGTAGGTCATCTAGTCCAACCCCCTGCCCAAGCAGAAAACCCTGCACCATTTATTAACAGAGTTGGAAGGCCATGTAGGTCATCTTCTTGTCCAACCCCACCACCACCCCGCCCAAGCAGATCCTTTTGGACAAATGGCAGCCCAGCCTGTTCTTGAAAGTCTCCAGGGATGAAGCTCCCACAATTTCTGAAGGCAACTTCTGTTCCGGAGGTTGATTGTTCTCCCTGTCAGAAAATTCCTCCTTATTTCCAGGTTGAATCTCTCCTTGATCAGTTTCCATCCATTCTTCCTTGTCTGGCCTTCAGGTGCTTTGGAGAATAGCTTGACCCCTTCCTCCTCTCTGGGGCAGCCCCTCAAATATTAGAAAACTGCTTTCCTGCCTCCCCTGCCTCCTCTCTTCCCTAAACTAGCCAGGCCCAGTGCCTGCAACCATTCATCGTATGTTTTAGTCTCCAGTCACCTAAAAAAGAAGGATTAGGAATGATATGATAGCAATCTTCCAATATTTGGAGGGCTGCCATAAAGAGGAGGGAGGGGTCAACCTATTTTGCAAATCACCTGAAGACAGGAAACTACCTGGAATTAAGGAGAAACTTCCTAACAATGAGAACAATTAACCAGTGGACCTGCTTGCCACCAGAAGCTGTGGCTGCTTCATCCCTGGAGGTTTTTAAGAAAAGATTGGACAGCCATTTGTCTGGAAAAGTATAAGGTTCCCTGCTTGAGCAGGGGGTTGGACTAGATGACCTCCAAGGTCCCTTCCAGCTCTGTTCTTCTGTATCTGATGGTTGCCTAGGCAGGACCTTGTCCTTGTCTCAAAAGTTCATTCCTACCACCTACCATTACGCAGAGACACTTTAGTGGCTCCTGCACTGAGCAGGGGTTGGATTAAATGACCTTGAAGGTCCCTTCCAATACCACAGTTCTATAAGAAGAGGGGCTTCATCCGTAATCCGAGAACTTCTCTCCAGGAATGAGAGCAGATTCCCTTCTGATTCTCTTGAGAACCGAGTGACCCGAGAGAGAGGGAGAGGGAGAGAGAAAGGGACGCCGCCTTCTACCAACGCCCAAGCCTTCCCTTCCCTCAGCATAATTCGGGCTCCTGTGAGAGCCAGGTGTGTGTGTGTGTGTGTGTGTGTGTGTGTGTGTGTGTGTGTGTGGCCTTGCACAACCTCCCCTCCAACAACAACAGGGCGTGTGGCTTTGTCATGCACTGTCTTCACAACTGCATTTTTTTCCCCTGTCAGGCAGAGCCAGGAGTTCATTTCCCCAAAACTGATCCGCTTGCCAAAGCAAACAGCAAGGAGGGGCGGCTCCAGAGGCAGGATGCGGACCGGGCCCAAGGGCGCCGGGGGTGGGGCGGGGACAGAGTCCCCAGGTGAGGCTGAGTCGGAGCTGAGAAGCGAAGTCGTGTTCACTTCGCAAAGGGCACCGTAGACTGGGATTTAAGTGCAGCTTCTAAAATAAATAAAATAAAATGCTAAAAAAAAAGACTAAATAAAAAGAATAACGAAATGAAATAAATAATAATAAAATATAATATAATAAAAATAATGAAATGAAATAATAAATACAACAAAAAGAATAATGAAATGAAATAAATAATAATAAAATATAATATAATAAAAATAATGAAATTAGATGAAATTAAATATAATAAAAAGAATAATGAAATGAAATAAATAATAAAATAAAATAAATAAAAAAATAACAATACAATAAAATTAAATTAAAAAATTAAAAAATAAAATAAGTAAAATAAAAAAATGAAAAATGAAATGAGATGAACTAGAATAAAATAGAATAAAATGAATCATAGAATAAAATATTAAAATAAATGAAATAAAACAAAAAATATAACAGAATAAAAACATTAAAAAATAAGAAATATAAAAACTGAAATAAATAAAAAATAAATGAAATAAAATTGAATGGAAGGAAATAGAATAATAGAATAAAATAATGGAATAAAATATTAAATAAAATAAAAAATACAATAAAAATAAATATTAAAAATGAAATAAATAAATTAAAAAATGAAATGAATTAGAATAGCATGGAATAAAATAAGTTATAGAATAAAATCTTGAAATAAAAAAAATTAAAAAAAGAATGAAATAGAGTAAAATAAAATATAAAATCAAATAATCAAATCAAATCAGGTAGATAGAAGAAATATTTGTACCTCGAGATTGAACTGTGGGGTCATTGCACGGATGATGTTACCTAATTGGGTCATGAAATGTCTGCAAGAAAACCAGCAAGCTCAGGGAGCACAAGAGACAATAAAACAAAACAAAAGGAAACATGACCCAGGGACACTGAAACCATCATAAATATGAGTCAATTGTCAAGCATCCACATGTAAATCATCCGAATGGTCAGCCGTGGGCGGCAGCTGCCAAAAAAAACAGGAAAATCCTAGGCTGCATCAACAGAGGGATAGAATCAAGATCACGTGGAGTATTCATACCACTTTATAAGGCCCTGATAAAGCCACGCTTAGAATATGGCACCCAGTTTTTAGCCTCCATGATGTAAAAAAGATGCTGAGACTCTGGAAAGAGTGCAGAGAAGAGCAACCAAGAGGGGGCTGGAAGCAGGGGTGGGATTCAATTTTTTTAACAACCGGTTCTGTGGGTGTGGCTTAGTTAGTAGGCATGGCTTGGTGGTCATGTTATTGGCTGGGCGTGGCCAACTCAACATCACTCACATTGAGGCACGCATCTCCTCGCCTGGCCTCTCGTTGCCGTGGGGATGCTGCAACAGTCGTAAATGTGAAAAACGGTCATAAGTCACTTTTTTCTGTGCCATTGTAACTTTGAATGGTCACTTCACACAAGCAAAGTACCAGCAAAGGAGGGGGAAAAAACTCCAGAGAAGTTCCAGAGACCGGAAGTCTAGTCCTGCCAAGAATGTAATATGGATTAACGGAGAGGCGGTTTCTGTAAGCAACACCAGAATGTTTCCTTCCTGCCTTCCTGACAGGATTAGCCCAGTAATTTCTTCTAACAACTGGTTCTCTGAACTGCTTAGAATGTTAACAGCCGGTTCTAGTGAATAGGTGCGAACCGGTAGAATCCCACCCCTGGCTGGAAGATAAAATATATGAAGAACGGTTGCAGGAATTGGATAGTGAAAGGAAGGACTGGGGGTGACATGGTAACAATATTCTCCTGAGCAGAGGGTTGGACTAGAAGACCTCCAAGCTCCCTTCCAACTCTGTTATTCTCAGTGGTGGGATTCAAATTTTTTTTACTATCGGCTCTGTGGACGTGGTTTGGTGGGCATGGCTTGGTGGCGGGTGGCTTGGGCCTGGCAGGGGAAGGATATACTGCAAAATCCCCCTTCTCTCCCCACCCCACTAACCTACTTTCCAGCTCTGTTCTCCTGTGCAGGACAACAAAAGGAGACCCAGCCGATCAGCTATGGTGTGGCTTAGTGGGCGTGGTGTTCTGTGGGTGTGGCAGAGGAAGGATATACTGCAAAATCCCCCTTCCCTTCCCACCCCACTAACCTGCTTTCCAGCTCCGTTCTCCTGTGCAGGGCAACCAAAGGAGACCCAGCCAATCAGCTGGGACTCGGGAGGTGGAGAATAGATGGGGTGGGGCCAGACAGAGGTGGGATTTGCCGGTTCTCCGAACTACTCAAGATTTCTGCTACCAGTTCCCCAGTAGTGGTCCGAACCAGCTGATTACCACCTGTGGGTTGGACTAGAAGACCTCCAAGCTCCCTCCAACTCTGCTATTCTGTATTCTCTCGCCTCCCAGATTGAAAGCTGGAACAAGCACGACCAGAAGCTGTTTGACGCCGTTGAGAAAGGGGATGTGACCCGAACGTCTCTTTTTGCCTCGAGGAAGACAGCCCACCCCACCAAGCTCAACGCCCTGGGACAATCTGCGTACGTAAGTTTTCCCCCTCGGCCTTCGAGAGGGACAGTATGGCTGCTGCCACTTCCTGGGAGTCTGGGCAACTGAATGGAGCTGAGTCTTTATTGGCCGGATGCCCTTCCTGTCACCAATCCGGAGTATTGTTCAGCAGATATATATCTTATTGTGCCCAGAGAGAGTGAGTTTATTTACTTTATTTTATGGTTTAGTTTATTGGCCATGCATCCCTCCAAATTTATTTCACTTTTCTTTTTCTCGAGTTGTCCCATGGCGAGGTGCGCCAGGGCAAGTTGTCTGTGGCGAATTGTCCCGCAGCGAGTTGTCCCATTCATTCTGCCAGGGAAGGGGCGGGGGGGGGGGGGGGGCTTCTCAAATATTCTGTGGGATTCCTAGGTTTTCCTGGTGGAAAATTCTAGGTTTTTTTAAAAAAATCTCTTTATTGCAGGTTCCATCTGGCAGCTTCCAAGGGACTCACAGAGTGCCTCACCATCCTGCTCACCCATGGGGCCGACGTCAATGATAAGAACGAGGATGGTGGGTACCAGCCCAAAGACCCCTCTCCCCCTTTTTTTCCCAGGGCATTACGATGGACAGTTGCAGGAACTGGGCCTGGCTAGACTAGGGAACAGAAGGACCAGGGGAGACAGGATAGCAGCCTTCCAGTATTTGATGGGCTGATCCAGAGAGGAGGAAGGGATCAAGCCATTTTCCAAAGCACCCAAAGGCCAGACAAGGAATAATGGATGGAAACTGAACAAGGAGAGATTCAACCTGGAAATAAGGAGAAACTTTCTGACAGGGAGAACCATCCATTCATGGAACAGAAGTTGCCTTCAGAAGTTGTGGGAGCTTCATTACTGGAGGCTTTCGAGATGAGACTGGACTGCCATTTGTCAGAAATGGTGTGGGGTCTCCTGCTTGGGCAGTGGGGTTGAACTAGATGACCTACAAGGTCCCTTCCAACTCTTAATCTGTTGTGGCTGCTTCAACACTGAAGGTTTCGAAGAAGAGATGGGACAATCATTTATCTGAAATGGTACTATAGACTCTCCTGCTTGAGCAGGTGTTGGACTAGAAGACCTCTGAGGTCCCTTCCGATCCTCTTATCTTACGCTTCATGTTTTTGCAGGCAGCACAGCTCTGCACCTGGCCACCATCGCTTGCCAGCCCCAGTGCGTGAAAGTCCTCCTCCAGGTAAAACACTTCTCCTTCTCCTTAGGGAACCCATATCAAGCCCGTTCGCAGCGCCCTATAGCAAAGGGCACCTCTGAGCATGTGCAGTGACATTTCATCTCGGTGGGTTGTAGAAGCTTAGCCTGTGGGGGAGGGTGTGGTTGTTGCTGCCTTTTGAGAATTGTTGTGTGGCTCTGTCCTATTCCTAAAAATCTCCCTTCCATTGAGAGGGGCTCTGAGGGGTCCTTGTTGGTCTCTGAGCTTGTTTGTGGAGGAGGAGGAGGAGGAGGGGAGAGAGAGAGAGAAAGGGAGAAGAAAGGGGTCCTTGATGCTCTCTGAGCTTGGTTGTTTTCTTGCAGACGTTTCACCCAACTAGGTAACATCATCAGTGCTAGAAGGGAGTGGGGTTGTGAGGAGGGGGTTTGGAGGAGGAGGAGAGGGAGAGGGAGAGGGAGAGGGAGGAGGAGGAGGAGGAGAAGAAGAAGAAGAAGAAGAAGAAGAAGAAGAAGAAGAAGAAGAAG